GGAACCTTCATAGCACACCTACTTACGAAGAAATACATGGAGCTTCATGAATCTAGGTCCTGGAGTTCAAGAACTAACATTTGACACTGGGAATTACTTAACAAACTCCTATTCAAGTATGTTAAGAATTACTTAACAAACTCCTATTCAAGTATGTTAAGAATTACTTAACAAACTCCTATTCAAGTATGTTAAGAATTACTTAACAAACTCCTGAACAATTCATCCAAAATGGGTAAAGCTTAGCGGTGATATTGGAACTGTCAAAATTATCCATAAAAATGGTGACGGCATAGTGATAATATTTCCAGGATAGGTCTGCCACAAAAAAAAAGGTAACCCATAGCGGTAAGTTTTGCCCAAAACAAAAACTTATCGCTGTGCGGTCTATTGTACTACTTCTCCCTACCATCCATCCAGTTCCCACACCATCCATTCATCCAGTCCCCCAATCATCCATTCATCCAGTCCCCCTCCCACCATCCATCCAATCAGACCCCCCACCATCCGTCCAATCAAAGCCCCCACCATCCATCCACTCAAAGCCCCCACCATCCATCCAATCCCCTACCATCCATCCATCCAGTCCCCCTACCATCCATCCATCCAGTCCCCCTACCATTCATCCATCCAGTTCCCCCACCATCCATCCATCAAGTCCCCAAACCATCCATTCATCTAGTGCCCCCAACATCTATCCATGCAGCCCCCCCCACCATCCATCCATCTGGTACTCCCCACCATCCATCCATCTGGTACTCCCCACCATCCATCCATCTGGTACTCCCCACCATCCATCCATCTGGTACTCCCCACCATTCATCCATCTGGTACTCCCCACCATCCATCCATCTGGTACTCCCCACCATCCATCCATCTGGTACTCCCCACCATCCATCCATCTGGTACTCCCCACCATCCATCCATCTGGTACTCCCCACCATCCATCCATCTGGTACTCCCCACCATCCATCCATCTGGTACTCCCCACCATCCATCCATCTGGTACTCCCCACCATCCATCCATCTGGTACTCCCCACCATCCATCCATCTGGTACTCCGCACCATCCATCCATCTGGTACTCCCCACCATCCATCCATTTCCCCACCATCCACCCTGTTGCCCTCCCAAATATGACTTAACCTTTGTGTTGCTAAAGGCTATTTGGCCATTGTCACCCACAGGTGCATAAAAAAAAATCTTCTTAACCTGTTAATTTGTGTTCCCTAATCATGGGAAAAATAATAAAAAAATCGTAAGTGCCATATTTTGCCCGCTATAGGGTGGGGAAGTCTGGCAAAAAAGAGGCACTGACTCAGCGTGCATCCGAGGCGGTCTGCTCAGCCCCAGCTGTCGGGCAGGAGTGGCTACAAAGAGATAATTACCTAATTATTTCAATGTCTCTGATTGATTTTTCTTCGTTATTTTGCTGTAATATTATTCAATAGTGTGTAGTGTGATATATTTATATAATAAAATGTGTGAATCATCACTGTACTCAAAATTATGAGTAATTATGAGTAATCAATATCATTGATTCAATTATTGTGTTCATAAAACAATAAACAAATACTTTGTCGGTTATTACACTATATACACAGGTTATATTTACGTATTTGCATGTTTTGTTCACCATAATGAACCACTAAGGGTATATTGCGAGTCAAAAAGCAGCGAGGTGTGGGCACCACATCTACCAGTCAGCCTCATCTATCCTTATCTCAACTATGGTATTTGTGCTTGGGGTTCTACTACCCAAAATCATTTACGTCCTCTAATTACCCAACACAAAGCTGCTATTAGAACAATATCTAACTCTGGCCCCAGACAGCACTCGGTACCCTTACTCAAATCTCTGAATATGTTAGATATTAAGTCACTGCACATCCTCTCATGTGTACTCTATATATTTAAAACTCTGAATTGTAATGTCAATCCTGACCTTAAAAGCTTCTTAGAAGGTTGTAACAGAACCCATGGGCACTACACCAGAAACAAATACCTATTTGATATTCCAAGAGTACGACTTAATCAAACTAGAAATGCTCTACACATCAAGGGACCCAGAATGTGGAATGACCTTCCCAATCATGTCAAAGGCTGTACCTCTCTCAACCAGTTTAAGATGAAAACTAAGTACTACCTAATTAGCGCTTTCGCTCGGCGATGACTCAGCATTGAGTCCTCCGTAAAACAGGGGCAAGTTCAGCGAGGACTCAGCATCGAGTCCTCCATGCACTAACAGTAGCAGCATTTTCGGGAAGATTTTGTTGCGGTTTTGGATATTATATGCATATGCACCTGTAGGGAATTTCATTGTGAATATATTGATACCAAAATGAAAGACCTAGGACCAGAATTGAGGTAACAAAGTTGAAAGCAGAATACCCATTTTATTGCTCTTTATTAGTTACCCCCAAAGGATACCTGATCAACCAGGCTGTGACTCATACGTCAGACGTGCCACTGTACTATCATGGTTAAATATTACCAGTTACATATATATTTTGACATTTATAGGCAATGCTGTGGTCACAAGTTGAACAGCAGTACTGTTAGCTCATGCTGCATTCACCAGCCTTGGTTGCTCACTCAGTACTGAGGCTTTCACACCCGGGAATGGTGCCCACGATTTTTTTTAAATGCTGTCTGTTTACTAGAGCCCCGAGGAAGCTGATGTGAACCCCCATATAGCTGTGGAAGATTTGAATCCTATGCTATACCTTTGAGCGCCCAGAGGCGCTCTGTACAACCCTTGATCTATCACCTCAAGGTGCTCTGCACAGTGCAGTGGTTAACCTTCAAACCGCTAAGGGCTTTTTGGCCTGCAACATTGCCAAGCGCAACAAAAAAAAATTCCAAACAATTCTTTCGTCTTATAAAAGTGTTCATTTGTGTTCCCTGATCAAGGGAAAAATTATACAAAAATCGAACTGAGGTTGGACCCATATAGTACGTTGAATCGAGGTTGTACTGTATTCTGTTTACAACTTTGTTGTAACAAAAACAAAAACAATGTGATAATGGAAGGGGACTCCCCTTCCAAACAGTAACAACTCTCCTCCTCCCCCCTCATCACCATCTTTCATACACCATCAAGAGCCTTCCATAAAGGTAAGAGAAACTTTGGTACTGACTGCATTGTAGTTAGAAAAAAACATTGTATTCAGTATAACATGTATTTGTATGTTAATATTTTGGAGGGTGGGGAACGGATTAATTCAAATCCCTTTATTTCTTATGGGAAAAATCGCTTCGACTTACGATATTTCGACTTACGATCTATCTCTGGGAAAGGATTAGCATCATAAGTCGAAGCCCCGAGGCGCCTGGGTTCGATCCCAGGCGCCGGCGAGAAACAATGGGCAGAGTTTCTTTCACCCTATGCCCCTGTTACCTAGCAGTAAATAGGTACCTGGGTGTTAGTCAGCTGTCACGGGCTGCTTCCTGGGGGTGGAGGCCTGGTCGAGGACCGGGCCGCGGGGACACTAAAGCCCCGAAATCATCTCAAGATAACCTCAAGATAACCCATTTCATTACAGAAGAGCCTGATTGTGATAAAGATTGTATGTGCAATGTTCAGATATCAGTGAATACAATGCTGTTCAAGATGTTCACAGTGCTAGCCACAGCACACTTCCATTGTTTGGTAAATCTAAGAGTCTTAAAATGATTTCTTATGTTCCTTTACAAAATAAACTTGTGGAAAATTATTCATTTACAGGATTTAGTGACCAGGAATCTGATAATAGCAGGATTGTAGTGATAATTAATGATGTGCGTAGTTTGGTGGGATAAGGAATCTTGATGAGGAGGGAGGGAGGGAGGTAGCGTTAACTGGCTGGAGCTTGGCAGCCACTTTTGTCGTTTACACTCACCATACCAGCTTAGTGGTTCACTATGGTGAACACAAATTTAGACACTTATATATAAAGTGTGTATATAGTGTAATAACAGCAAAACGAGCATGTTGGGAGGAGCCATTTTGGTGAGGGAGGTGGTGTCGTCTGCTGGCTGGTGTGTGACTTGTCATGCAGTGTATGTTGGCCACTATGATGTTTGGACACTACACCAGATTAGTTGTATAGTTATGGTGAGCAAAATATATAGATACTTTATATAACATGTGTAAATAGTGTAATAAAAACAATAACAGTATGGTGAGAGGAGGAATGTAGGTGAGTGTTAAAGGAGGGAGGGAGGTGGCTTCTGCTAACTGCTGTGTTGTGGCCACTCTTGTTGTTTGGACTCACCATACCAACTTAGTGGTTCATTATGGTGAACACATATGTAAATTTTTATATACAATGTATGTATATACTGTAGTGTAATAACAGCAAAAATACTTTTTGATCGATCGTAAACTATAATATACATGTCACATATATGAGCTCTATAATTTTGAGCATAGAGATGTTCTACACATTGAACTGTATTAATTTCATAAATTACACACTTTTGAATAATATTACAGGAAAAAAACAGAGAAGAAATGAATGAGAAACATCAAAATAATTGTGGAAAAATTATATTCGTGGCAACTGCAGTCCCACGGGGTGGCGAGGTCGAGTGACCCCGAGCACTCCAAGGCTCAGATCCCATGATTTGCTCAACTTCTCAGATCTATCAAAATCTATCACGGAAAAAGTATGTTACATACATTTTTTTTTTTTTTTAGTTTCCCATAATCAGAGACAACATTTTAACAATACATGAAGAGAAAATAATTTTTTGCAAAGAGTTTCTTTTCAGTGCACAGCGAGAATGTTATATTTTAACGAAGTGCAGCACGGTGGTTAATATGGTTAATAATAATATTATTATTATTATTATTTAGGTACCTGTATATTTTATCTATGTTTTCTTAATTTGTTCCCTACACTGAAATTTATCCTGAATTTTGCATTCTTTTATTACACTGTTTATATCATTAAACTTTTTATATCATTAAACTTTTTAATTCTATGCAACATCATTTAACTCATGTCATTTTTGCAGCTGAGATGTGGTTCGGGGTGCTATTTGCGGTTCTGCTGGAACTGGTTCCTGACACAGTGCAATCTACATCCATTGCTGTCTTCCTCTTTGTTATGAACAATGTTGGTGGTAACGTTCCTGTAGTGGTTGACCCTCTTTCCCATCTATTGACCTATAGGGGCGCGCTCTATATCATGTACCCCGGAATGTACTTAGCCAGTAAGTTATTATTTTGTTTATAGCCAATTTAACTGTAATCAGCTGAACGGGTGAGTGATGCCTATAACAAAATTTAAACAGCATTCTTCTGAAGTATTTAATAAATAATAAATTATTATATAATTACAATATAAATGAAAAATGTTGTTAACGGTTCAATACTATATATTTTAGTTGGCAAATGTAACTCCAACAATTCCCAAAATTAAATTTTGTCTGGATACCAAGAGTTCCACAATTATAACACTGCAGTGATAACTTATAAAGAATTTAAATAATACTGGGAAATTCCTATAACTTTTCATCAAAACCACATATTATTACTTATGAAGATGGGATGCTTTTAATTTAACCCTTAAACTGCTCAACACATCATATGACGTATTGAGTAACATACCCAAAAGTGTGCATCAACCTGTGGATACACGGGGTTCACCTCACCTTTATCAGGGCTCTTATAAACAGACGCCATTTAAAAAAAAAATTTGTGGGCAACATTCCCGGGTGTGAGGGCCTCAGTTTTGAGTGAGCCACTAAGACTGGCGCAAGCAGCATGAGCTTACAGCACTGCTGTTCAGCCTGTGACCACAGCATCGCCTAAAAATGTCAAACTATATATGTACTTGCTATTAATTAGTGATGATAGTATTACAGAAGACCCCTGACTGTGATAAAAATGACCAGAATTCTGATAATAGCAGCATTCTTGTGATAATTAGTGCTGTAGTGAGAGGAAAAATCTTGGTGGGGAGGGAGGTAGTGTTTACTGCTGACTCTGTGTGACCACCTTTTACTGTCTGGACTCACTATACCAGCTTAGTGGTTTGCTATGGTGAACAAAACATGCAGATACTTAAATATAACGTCTTTATATAGTGAATAAAAGCAAAAACAGTATGGTGGGAAGAGAATGTTGGCGAGTCAGGTGAGGTGAGGGAGGGAGTGGCAGCCAGTGGTGGCCTGGCTCTAAATGCCATGAAATTTTGTAGTAAGATAGTCCTAGACCCCCAATGACACTTTGCAAAATATTAGAGCTCAATCTGCTTTGGTTCTTAAATAACAGGTCCATATTCAATGGGCTCTCATCCTGTTAACCCTTAACATGCTCGGGGTTTAACCCTTAAAGTGCGCATAACGTCATATGACGTGCTGAACGTTGTTCCAGTTAACTGCGCATCACGTCATATGATGTGTTGGAGTACTATGCAAGATTTAAACAGCCCGCGGATACACGGGGTTCACCACACCTTCATCAGGGCTCTTGTAAACAGACGCCATTTTTTAAAAAAATCGTGGGCCAAACTCCCGGGTGTTATTGGCCTCAGTATTGAGTGAGCAACCAAGCCTGACACACGCAGCATGAGCTAACAGCACTGCTGTTCAGCTTGTGACCACAGCATCGCTTAAAAATGCCAAATTATACTTGTTCATGCTATTATGTAGCGATGATATTATTACAGAAGACCCCTGACTGTGATAAAACTGACCAGGGTTCTGATAATAGCAGGATTGTGGTGATATTTAGCGCTGTGCGCCATGGAGGGAGGAGTAATGCTGTGGGAGGGAGGGGTGGTGGCGATGTCTTTTGACTGTGTGTGGCCACCTTTTATTGACTGCACTCACCATACCAGCTTAGTGGTTCGCTATGGTGAACACAAATGTAGATACTTATATATAACGTGTGTATAGAGGGTATAAACAGCAAGAGAAGGTTTGGAGCCGCCATTTTGGTGAGAGCGGTGGCGTCGCCACCGTGCAGACGACGGTGTTGTTTACTGGTTACCACGATGGTCTTTGGGCACCATACCAGTTTATTTGTACAAGTATGGTGAATAAAACAGGTAGATATTTATATATAATGTGTGTATATAGCGTAATAACACCACTTTAATATAATATAATACCCTTTACCTTTACATAATAACTATTTAATATGTAAATTATTCTAATGATTTATTGAATTCAAATATATTTTGCTGTAAGCAAAATTAATAGTTTCTCCTGGAAAGATATATAAATAAAGGTGATCACTGATGATTCTCTTCTTGACTGTCACTGATGTCAGTCTCCATCATTTTGATAACTAATCTTTTTTCATAGATCTAATCATGAACTATAATTATTGTTTTCTGTTTTTTTAATTCTGCTTTTTTTTATTACAGGCTCAGTCTTCTTCTTCCTTACAAGTTTCCTGGTGTGAAAATTTACTTCTCAGTGAGGCTCTTTCTTCTGCTTTGTTAGCACCAGCTTATTGGTGAAGTAAAACCACCTGATCACATCATCTGTGAGCAACTCAGCAACCCACACAAGATGCATGAAACCTGCATGCCTCTATACATAGCCAATAGTAAGCTTTAACAAAGATGATCAATGAGTTGCTAACAAGATATTCACATCTTTCATGAAGAGCCAAAGATTTTCTTGAGAAATGCAGAGAAGCTAAAATTTTTTAAACAGAACCAAAAATTAAGTACTGTATTTGCTCAAAGGAGTGCTATTCGTCCTCAAAATTTTTGTATTGCAGTATGATATATGTACTGTCAGTGTTGATTTATACACTTAACAGTTTAACATCGCTGCCTGAAACGCTATTCATGTTAGTGGCTTTGCAAAAATGTAAAAACATCAATGCTATGTACTCTCATAAACCCAATGTACTTTCTTATATATAAATAAATAAATAAAAATAAATATCATTCACATCTCTTTCCTATCTCTGATATGACACACCCCGTGGCAAAATGGTAACACACTCGACTCCCTGCAAACATTTTCTCGTTTTCAAAACGTGATGAAAACCACATATGATAGTTTTCGTCACATTTTAAATTACGTTTTCTTACGTGTTTTGAGAATTCGTAAATATGACAATAAAATGTTATCTTGAGGTTATCTTGAGATGATTTCAGGGCTTTTTTAGTGTACCCGCAGCCTGGTCCTCAACCAGGCCTCCACCCCCAGGAAGCAGCCCGTGACAGCTGACTAACACCCAGGTACAGTACCTATTTTACTGCTAGGTAACAGGGGCATAGGGTGAAAGAAACTCTGCCCATTGTTTCTCGCCGGCGCCTGGGATCGAACCCAGGACCACAGGATCACAAGTCCAGCATGCTGTCCGCTCAGCTGAGCATATATGCAGGTCAGCCGAGCATATATGCTGGTCGGCCGAGCATATATGCCGGTCGGCCGAGCATATATACGTGAGTATATAACGTTTTAATAAAACATGTTTTAAATATTATAACACTTTAGATCAAAGGTTTTTAACCCTTAGACCGCATAATACATACATATATGATTTAACAAAAAATAATTTAGGTAAGTTTTTAAAACTTGCTCAAACACTTTCCAATTTTTTTTGCATAATCAACTAGGCAAATGCTCCAACTTTGTCTAAATGATTACAGCGTAACTTGAAAAACCAGAGAATCAAAATTAGTTTTAAAATTGAATATTGAAAACTTCAGATTTTCAATTCAGAATAAAAAAATATGAACTATCGTTAATTGTTCATTTAATGTTATTATTCTCTCTCTCTATTCTTATTATTTAATGTTATTATTCTGTTATTATTCGCATATGATCTTCATTTTCATTAAATTAGAATATAGGTTCTTAGTATAGTTTACTGTAAAACTTTTTTTGTTTACTCTTTACTTTTTTTTTTTAATTGTCTATTTGAGCTCACTTTGTTTTCTTAGGTTCATACTAATTATAGGATTTTAACTAACCATTACTAAGCTAATTAGCTTTAAGATAATTTTACCTTATGATTATTATTTTTTATTTTACATTTATATTATCAGTCTTCACTGATTTTTTGTTTTTCTTCTTTTATCTAACTTCTGTGTCCTTCCTGGGTATCTATTGGATCTTTATTTTACTTCTAATTTGTTACTATTTTCGGTGTATTTGCTAATATTCTTGTGTTTTGCTATAATTACTTTGTTTTTACAGCATATTTAGCATTTATCTGTTTCTGTAATTGCTTGTCTTATTGTATCATGATCCCTCTGCATTTCCATGCACACTGATATTGATCCTGATCTAAATCTTCTGTCTTATATCTACACCAACCAGCACATTGATCATCATTATTGCAAGTATTTCACAGCACACCAGGCAAAAAACAAACTCCAAAATAGCACCTACTTATCAGTTTACAACCAAAATGTTAGATCACTTGGTAAACATTTTGACGATATAAATGCAGTACTCACCGCGCTAGGTATTAACTTATCTTTTATTATTTTAAGAGAAACTTGGCTAAATAAAGACTATACCCAACTCTACAAGTTAGCTGGTTATAAAGCCATTCACAACTGTAGGCCTAATAAAAAAGGTGGCGGCACAGCTATAATAATAATATAATAATAATAATAATAATAATAATAATAATAATAATAATAATTTTTATTTAGGTAAGGTACATACATAAAGAGATTTTACAAAGTTTGTTGGCTTTATAGATAGAGCTAGTACATACAATGCCAAAAGCCACTATTACGCAAAGCGTTTTGGGCAGGAAAAACATTAATGACTAAAGCTTAAAACTAATGGGTAAAGAGAATAAAATGTGTTGAGAACAAATAAAAATAGAGGTAAAAGAGGGGGGAACATTGTTGAAAAAGCAGCACAAATACAATTACAAATTATTACAGAAAATTACATTCAAACAGCGTTGATTTGAAAAAAACAAAAAAACAAAAAACATACATGGGTTGACAACAGAGGGGTAAGGTAGGTTACAGGGAATTTATTAGGTATAGCTTCGTTTTTAACTTAAACTGGTTGAGAGAGGTACAGTCTTTACAGTCTTTACAGTCGTATATATTACAGAGATACATTTATCTGTAACAGTGTCAGTAGTAATAGAGGTGACTACTGTGAATATACTTTTGCTCAGTTTACAATTAAATCCCTTAAATCCTCCTTGATTATTGGAGCCATCTATAGATTTCCCAATACCTGTACTAACATAGCTTCATTCTCAGATAACCTAAGGAATCACATTATAAACAACCTAACTTGTCAAAAATATTTGAAAAACTAATCTACAAGTATCTTTACTCTTATCTAGCCAAATACAATATACTCAGTTCTTGTCAATATGGCCTCAGACCCCCTCCCCCCCAAAAACACTAACGATTCACTTATTAGTATGATTAACTTGATTCATGCAGCTCTTGATAAAAATGAGTTCCCTGTTGGGTTATTTGTGGACCTACTTAAGGCTTTTGACACTGTCAACCACCAAAACCTTCTTCTTAAATTACATCATTATGGAGTCAGAGGTCACTCCCTGCAATACCTCAAATCTTACCTTACTGACAGGCTCCAGTATGTTTCTGTGAATAATTCTATTTCTCCCACCCTACCCATTAACATTGGTGTTCCTCAGGGCAGCATACTTGGCCCTCTCCTCTTTCTCATCTACATTAATGACCTTCCAAATGCCTCCCAACACCTCAAACCAATTCTGTTTGCTGGCGACACAACCTTCATTTACTCCAGTCCTGACCCCCTTGCTCTAAATGTCACAGTGAATACTGAGCTAAATAAAGTCCATCACTGGCTAACTGCCAACAAACTCACCCTCAATATTGACAAAACTTTCTATATTCTGTTTGGCAATAAATCCTCAAAATCAAATAAATCTCAGGACAAACAATACCCAAATTTGTAACAAAATAGATGGCAAATTATTTGGCGTTCTCATTGACCACAAGCTGAATTTCCAGGGACACATTCTAAATATATATAAACAAAGTTTCATAAACTGTTGGCATTCTTTCTAAGATCAGATACTATGTACCTCGCCCTGTCCTGGTGACGCTCTACTACTCCCTCATCTATCCTTATCTCAACTATGGTATTTGTGCTTGTGCAAATTAAGGGACCTAGTCTATGGAACTCACTCCCTAGTGAATTGAAAAGCTGTCAAACTTTTGCCTCATTTAAAAACAAAAACAAAAAGTACCTAATTTCATCTTCGTAGTTTCCTACACTGAGCTTTAAATTTGCTCTATATCTAGTGTTATCCAATCTTTATGTACTTAACCCAAACAACTTTATCATTGTGTTCATTGCTGTCTTCTTTTATGTGCTAGCCATATGCTGTATTGTGCCTACTAATTTTTGTTAAACTACCAATCAAGCTGTCATTGCAATCAGTCTGAGCTACCTATGTGCCTTAATATACCTACAATTTTCTCTCATCTTATATTTTTTTCTTGCTTTGTAACTGTTATTATTTTTTATAAATTTTGCAAGTATTTACTTACACTCAACACTTAACAACAACGAGTGTTGTTAACGCATATGTCGACCGTGCTCTCAGCCACAGCTCAGAATAGAAGCAAGTCGACGAAGAACTCTGTAGGGTAAGGCAGGTCCTAGTCAATAACGGCTTCTCCAATGGTTTCATCGAAGACATCATAAGAAGGAAAGTGAAAAGCCATGCAACCTCTGAAGAGACAACTAACACAACACCTATACCCCCTATTAGACTATTTTACAGGAACTTCTTTTCCACAGCTCATAAAACGGAGGAAAGGGTCCTGAAAGATATTGTTAATAGAAACGTTATCCCTACAGACAAAAATCAGAGGATATAACTGACGATTTACTATAAAACCAGAAAAACGGCCAGCCTACTCATGAGAAACTCTCCAGACACAAAACAGAACGCTTTAAAAGAGACTAACGTCGTCTATGCCTTCAAATGCCCACTTGGGGACTGTAAGCTCCAAAAAACCCAGTATATAGGCAAGACAACAACATCTCTTTCTAGGCGTTTAACGATGCATAAGCAACAGGGCTCCATTAAGGAACATATAATCTCCTCCCACAACCAAACCATTGCCAGAGAAATCCTAGTAAACAACACAGAAATCATCGATAGATACAGCGATAGCAGGCGGCTTGACGTTTGCGAGGCACTACACATCAAGAAGTCAACACCAGCAATCAACAGCCAATTATTGCACAACTATATTCTACCCACCTCAAGACTCCGCTCCAATATAGAAGCATCAAGAAATATGGACCAATAGGCTTTCTACAAACACTTCTATTCAATACCCATTGTTTCTGTTCTGTCTTGTGTTGATACTTTTAATACCCTATTAATATCCCCTCCTGTTCTGTCTTGTGTTAATGCCACATCACCCTTCCCACCTCACTCAAATGTAGATATAATATCAGAGAGACGTAAGTTCTAATCAGTTGTGTATTTGTGAAGTCTTTGAAAATGTAATAAGTTTTACGAAACGCGCCCGTGTCGCGTCAGACTAGAAATAAAAATGAATTTTGGAGAAGTGATTTTTGATTTACCTCCAACAGTGAAGCGTAATGTACGAAAGATTGAGAAAATTCGTGTTAGAATTATTAATCTTACTTTTTCGGCCATATTTAATAATATATGTCTACAGGAAAGACTGCTACCAAAATATACTAATATTAACATATAATTCCTGTATGAAAACCAGAATATAATTTTGAACTTTGTTTTAAACCTTGTAAAGTTATCATAAAACTTGGAATAAGTGGGTAAGCATACTTTACTTATGAAAATATAGAAAAAAATCAACAAAAACATTTTAACATAAAAAAATATAGTACATAAACATAACATAAATTAACTGCATGCATGGGAATTAATTGGAACTCTGTAATATTGCATACATGAA